GCTGCGGCCGGGGTGAGAATCAGGGTTGCGTCAGGAAGGACTTTCGCCGAAAAACACGTGCCAAATGTCAACAAGCCGGTCGTCAGTGTGACTGTCTTTATTATCATTTACTATATCTGTATTTTGTCTTCTTTTTGTATCTATTAATTGTATGAAACTGTATAATCCATCAGAGCCTTGAGTAAGTGAAGATGTGCCAGCATGTGCTTGTTTGCATGTGTTCATTACCTGAGAGTACAGGTGCAGTCCTTTTTGGCTCCAAAGTCTGGAAGGACACATTTTCATAAATATTTCCTGAACTTTCTATCTCTCTTCTCCTGTTACTGTGATTACTAGAGGGTCTCTTTACATTGGCATCGACAACCAACTGTGGATCCATGATGCTATGTTGCAGAATCTTCTGAGCTTTACACTTAAAACACTGATCTCAAATCTGTCTCTGAACAAACACATAAATCAAATAAAAAAGGAACGAAACAAAGAGAGTCAGACAGATTATTAGGTAGACAAATCATTCCATGACTCATCAATGATAAAATAGTAATTTTATTATTTCAGCACAAGTAGTAGAACTTAAGCTATTAATTGTAACAAAGGTTAGTACAGGAAAAAATCTTCTGGGTTGCAGTTAGAATATAGATAATAAGGCCTCTGTCAAAAGGGAACTACCACCTCTACTCTGGTTTAAGTGGTCTTTCACAATATTTAGCTCAATATCCTGATACAGACAGTGGTACAGTGTAGGTTATTCTGTGCAGTGCTTTCACTTTTTAGGACTATTGTACATATTGATAAACTGGAAAAATTTTAATTATTCGTAGTATAAACATAAGATATGTATATACAGTAAATAAGTCATTACATCAAGATCCCCTCTCTGAAATAAAACATCAAACCTAATCACATAAAGCCATAGGACTGTGAAACAATACATTTCATGCAAAATGTGAATTTGTACATTCAGACCCATAGACCCACTGTCATTTCATAGATCCATTAATTTTGATCAGTACATGATAAGTCATTCCAGTTGTCTTCATTGTCATGGAACCTTATTTCTACACATTCTTCATTTGTGTGGTTATAGTTGTTGGGCTCCCCAGGGCCCCAGTAACTGAACCCACAAAATAAAAAAATTGCACGAAGAACATAACGCAAGAAGCATTTGATGGACAGAAACAAGCTAAAAGTGCAAATGTAACAGGTTCCTTATTTTCCATTACAGATTCATTTATTAATCTGGCATAAAAATTTGAAAGAAACTTTGGGTATGTGCTGTCAGATAATGAAACTTTATTTCTGCTGTTTCAAAATTACTGACATTCCACCCAACCATGAAATCAGATATATAATGATAAATCCACCCCTGCTGCAATGCTTCACTGGAAGCACTGGGACCTAAATGAAGATAGTTGTGCTAAAGCTAAGCTACCTGCCTCCAAATACTTTGTTAGGAACTTTAAACACGATCCTACTTTTCTAAAACAATCACAAGTCTGCACCAGCCGGTTCCTCTCCTTCCCATTCAGGATCAGACTCTTCTTCATAAACTATGTTTTGAGTCAATCCCAGTTCCCTTATTTCATTGTTCCTCACTTTTCATTCCCTGCTCAACCTGAAAGTTGTTCCAATTCGCCCTTTTGAAGGACATCCCAAAGCTCTTATTCCTGCTCTGAGGAGTGAAAAGGCTTCCTGGAGGATCCATGAGAAAATATACCAGAGAACATCCATCATGACAAATATAATATAATTATAAATGTTGGGGCTGGGGTGTGGTAATGTATGGCCAGGTGTATGGTTTTCGGACCAACACCTACAGCTCCAAAACAAATGTGGGTCCTATTTCCCGACTGCCCTTGTTATCAAATAACAGGACAGCATTAGTTTTGGTTGAAGTTGGTTTTTACTTAACAGAAGGGTTTAAATAACAATACTCAGCCACTTTTTTATATGTCGAACAAAAATAAGACAACAGTAGTGGACTTATTCCTAACAGCACAAAATAGACACGACTGAATATACACGCAAAATTATCCGTGCAAAACCTGGTACAAATATATCAACAGATAACTTTCCAGATACAATATATTCAGACTTCACATTAGAAGCAACTCAAACTCACTCTGGTTTAAGTGGTCTTTCACAATATTTAGCTCAATATCCTGATACAGACAGTGGTACAGCTTAGGTTATTCTGTGCAGTGCGTTTACTTTTTAGGACTATTGTACATATTGATAAACTGGAATAATTTCATTATTCATAGTATAAGCATAAGATATGTTTATACAGTAAATAAGTCATTACATCAAGATCCCCTCTCTGAAATAAAACATCAAACTTAGTCACATAAAGGCATAGGACTGTGAGACAATACATTTCATGCAAAATGTGAATTTGTGCATTCAGACCCATAGACCCACTCTTTTCACAGATCCAGAGGTTTTGATTATTACATGGTGCATCATTCCAGTTGTTTTCATTTTTATGTAACCTTATTTCTGCACAGTCTTCATTTGCGTTGGCATTATTGGGCTCTCCAGGGCCCCAGTAACTGAAACCACAAAGAAATAACATTAAACAAAGAGCACAACCCAAGAAGCACTTGATGGACACCAACAATCTAAAAGTGCACAGGTAACACGTTCCTTATTTTCCATTACAAATTAATTTATTTTTTCTGACATAAAACTCTAAAAGAAACTTCGAGGAGCTGGTATGATGGAAAACAAAAAAGGAGCTTGGAGATGGATTAGAGAAGTGAAGTCAAATAATTAAACTCTTCTTCATACAGTATATCTCTATGTTTTGAGTCAGTCCCAATTTCCTTATTTCATTGTTCCTCACTTTTCATTCCCTGCTCAACCTGAAAGTTGTTCTGATTCACCCTTTTGAAGGACATTCCAAAGCTCTTATTCCTGCTCTGAGGAGTGAAAAGGCTCCCTGGAGGATCCATGAACAAAGATACCAGAGAGCATCCATCATGACAAATATAATATAACTAACTATAAGTAATAAGTATATTTTCAATACCATGGACCTCCAGTCACTGTGTCTAAAATAACGTTTGATGATGATAATGATGATTACTTATAGCATATATGTTACATCTTAACCCTTGTAGGCCATTTAGATTAAAATAACTGGTTGAGGAACAAATTTCCAACATTGCATAAACATGTCTAGGCCCCATGCCAAAGCTGTGACCACATGTTTTCCAAATACAAAGCAGAAATGTGATGTTAATCTTTTTGTTTTAAGTTTACCTCTTCAACCAGTGTGTTTCCTTCTCACTTTCTGTTTCCTGCTGTGATGGGTGGTGTGCTGTGTTAGGGTGTGGAAATTTGTTTTGCAATAACTGACATTATGCTAAATTTGGTGCCCAAATCCTAAATGACTGCTTGGTTTATTATTTTTGTGCTGTTTTATGCCCTGACCAGGTGACCGGTGCTAGTTAGGTGAGTCTCATATAAAACTGAGTAGACAGCTGATGGCTGTGAAGCTTTGTTTGTTTGTGTGTGGTTGGATTTCCCAGGGTTTACTATTGTCCCCATATCAGCTAAATATTATTATATGACTGGACCTTTCTTGCATGGACCCCAGTCTCCAAACCTGCCCCTTCAAC